GCGATAGTTTTACAGTCTTCACTGCATTACCCTAAGCGTGTTTTGACATTGTGGATGGAGAAAACAAGCTAGGCGGAGCACAGATGGGAATGCTTAGGAACTTTATCTCTGCTGGACCTCCAAGATTTTGAATGAACTTCAGAGGCTTCAAGCCATTATTTGTCAGTGGAATTGCCTGCTGATTTTGGAGCAATCCACCTGGTTTTTACTAATGAAGACCCTGTAATTGCATTTGAGAGCATACATGTGGAAAAAGACAAACAACAACAACAGCAAAAGTACAAAAAGGGTATTTACTGTTGTCTTGGTGAGTAATGCAACTTGCTTTCTAATTGCCCAGTGTTTACCCAGGAGAGAAGGATATGGATGTGAATAGCTTGTTTGGAAAAGCAATTCTTTTTCAGTGAGGAATGATTTGTTTTGGGGAAAAAAAAAAAGAAAGAAGGTAGGTAACATATTCTTCCTGATTATCAAATGCCAGAGCATGTACAGAAACCAGCTATAGAGAAGCTAGCAGCGAGCAAGTGGAGGAAGGAGCACATCTTTGCACCGTTCCTGTGTGCAGACCCGGAGGAGCTGGAGCAGCCTAGGGTAGGCACTGCTCAACTTGGCTTTACCAAACAGAGCTCCAGGTGGTGTCTCTGCCTGGCTCAGCGCAGGGCTTCCCTCTTGCTCTGAGGGAACTGCTCCGTCAGCTGGAGGTCTCCAGCTCCTGGCCCTTCTGCGTGGCTTCCCTGCCTGCGCATCAGCCACAACTGGCCCTGGTGCCATAGACCAACCTACAAACCAATCTTTAAACTCGCTGTTGGCAATCAAACAAAAAAATAAGGAAAAAGAGAGGAAAACAAGCCCCTCCACACAACTGAGCCCTTCCTGTGATCCCCATGATGAAAGTACCCATTTCAGGGGAGTTTTGGCAGCAGTGCAATGGAGATTAGAGTCATCCTTGTCTCTTTTCAAAGTCTCTTTGTGGTGTTTGAAGGCAGCGTTTCTGTGCCTTAGCAGGTGGCCGGCAGCAGAGAACAAAGCGGGCTCGTTCTGGCTTCCATGCGGTGGGTGCTGGCAGCTCCGTGCGCAGGCGGCAGGGCGCAGGCCAGCGGCGGGGCTCTCCGAGCCAGGCGCATCGCGCGAGGGACAGAACATCCGCCTTGCTCTGTGTTCCTTGAGCTCGCGTCTGGCTCTCTAGGGAATTGCACAGTAGTGATTTCACAGTGAAATAACAATTTTGCAGTAAACATCCTGCATTCCTCAGATCTCAAATGTTACAATTACCATATTATTAGTCTCTAGGGTAATGATTTGGCTTTTACACATGAAGGTTAGATGGAGACAGGAAAGACTCTTTTTAGGTTGTATTTTCTGTGGTGCCACGAGAAACTTTCCTGTGCTTCCCTGTAGCCCAGGGTGGGCTCTAGGTAGGTAGAACCAATGTGAGGTCCTGCAGATCCTGTCAGGCCAAACACCATATGGTGCAGTTGGAAAAAGTCCTCATTCATGCACCATCCTGCTGGCCATGGCTCTGGGAGTGGTGTCCCAGCGTGCTGACATGGGGCAAGAGGAAGGAGAAGTCTCCCTCCTGTTCCTTCTGCTCCATCTTGGCTCCTGAGAAGAGCCCTGCAAATCAGAAGATGGTAAGACGGTCCTCTCACAGCTATATTTATACTTGATAATAATCGCACTTTTCTCCTACTACAGAAAAGGTCCGGTGTGTGGTTCTCAGAACAGTTATATAACACAAATTGCATTCCCTCTCTCTCTCTCTTTTTTTTTTTTCCTAAGACAAACACCCTAGTTTGCAAGAGGATGAGTATGAGATAAAACAGTAATATACAAAGGAGCTCAAATGTTGAGCTGAGACTCCACAATCAGACCCAATATTCAGATTTTATCTTTGCCAAATCCACTGGTGGCTATTCAGGACAGAATAATAGTCACAGCGATGCAATATGTGCTCCATAATGAGGCTCTCAGGAAAGTTCCCGTTTAACAAATGAAGCAAATATAAAAATTTATCAGCTCTTGGGTAGAGTGAAGGCCATGAATTTGTTATATCATTGCAAATTATCTGATGACAAGCTTTAAGAGAATGTATGGTGCATCTCCCACTTCTGTTCTGAGAGAAAATTGCTGGTTTTTCTTATAAAACAAGAGGGCAATTCTGCTTAGGAGGGATATCAGGGGATCAACCTCCTATTTGAAACCTGCAAGGACCTATAATTTGTCATAGATGCTTCAATGATAGTCTCAAAATTGAATTCATGTGTCCCCTAAGAAAGACTACACTGCTGATGTTTGTTCAGCAAAGAATAAGGTTTGAAAACCTTTGCATTGAACTTCCTTAAAAAAATTTCAACTCCTGGGGCTGGGAGC